GAAAATAACAAATATTCGTCATACAGATGTTCTTTTTTTAATTTTTTTTTCTTTTTAATAATTACATATTAATAAATACGAGACATGGAAAAAATGATGGTACATGTCTGTATTTAAATAGATGTCAATTAAATGAAATTTCAATTAATTCAAATTAATTAATTTGATTTATAATAATACAAGAAATGTTTAAACAAAATTAAAGCTCGTTATTCCAAAGAGGCCTAAGTGCTAAACAGTTCTAAATTTAAATATTTGCAAATCACTATTAGCAGCATTGTGAAATATTGCTAAATACTTGATATGTTAAATTATTTCTATCATGTATTATTAATATTATTATTATTATTATTATTATTATTGTTATTATTATTATCATCATAACTATTAAAACATAGTAAAATACAAAAACAATGATCATACACAAGCATTGAAAATTCATGACAAATCGATATCTTACTTGTCTTTTTTTTTCTTCTTCTTTTTTATCACATTATTTGTATAACAACCAAAACGATATCATTAATTTCCTTGTTATATTCAGATCTTAAATAATTTTCTATTGCATTTATTTAAAAGATATTAAAATAATGATAATCATATTAATCTAATAAATTGATGGCTTGTCGATTAAATATCAAACAATATATTTCATCTTACTTAATATTAGAACGAAAGATTATTAATTAATAATACATAAAGATAAGAGACAATTTAGAAGGCTTTTTCTGTATATTTCTTTTTTAATAACAAATGAAAATTTTCTCATTAGGTTTATAACTTGGAAGAGGTCAAGAAAAACAAATAATTAAGAATACGCATCTGATCTGCTATTTACAAGAAAAAAATGTGTCCATCCCCTGTATAGGAGGGGGAAAAAAACGAAACAAAGATCTTTAAATTTTTACAAATGAGACTGCTATCTTTTTTCATCACAATAATATTTTGACTTTATTATTACACACTCATATATATATATTTGTGTAATAATAAATGTATTATTCATATTATTTTTTAATTAATAAATAAATCGTTAAGACAATTGGCATTTATTAAGAATCAACAATTATATTTTGTTAAACTAATATCTAATAATAATTGTAAACACGTGCGTGTGTGTGTATATGTGTGGTGCACAAGGAAAAGAGTTAGAAACTAACATTTTGTATCATTGTTAAATTAATTATTTCTTTGCAATTTACATGGCAAATATATTTGTTAAATTTACGACACTTTTAATATAAAAAATATATGAGGTTTCTTTTTGGAGTACATTTAGGATAATAATAATAATAATTATTATTAATAAGATTGCCACATATAGTATACATGCAATGAAAAATTATACATGTATATATATATAT